GTTAAGGTTTTAACAAAGTTCGAGCGAATACATAATTAGCCAAAAAAAGTTGAAATAAAGTGATTAAACAAAAATTATTATAAATATCGTAAATAACAGTTCACAAATGCATATATAGAGATATTTTTTTTAAAGGAAGAAATGGTCTTCACAATTTGAAATCGATCAAACACGCTGTGCGCGAATGCTCGTGTAAACGCGCGCCATCTATCGTAGGATAAATGTACTTCGCGGAAGTGTATTAAAAAATTGAAAAAACTTTCCAAAGTTTCATGGCAATCGTACTATGCCACAAACCTTCGCCGGAGTATATTAAACAACTTCCCAAAGTTTCACGGCAATCGGATAAACGGTGTGGTAATGCATGAAGGACAGACACAAACACACACACACATACATTCATTTTGATATATATATGTTACTGTAAATGCTGGAACTATGGTAAATCCTAAGATCTTCCAGTGAAACCTAAGATTTACCAAGTCTTTGTGGTAAAAGTCCGAAATGTTCTGCAATCATCGCTAATTTCGAACTTATACCAACATTTACTCGGTATATCTTAGGTTTTACCTCAGAGACATGGTAAATGTTGAAAAAATAGTACCCGCTTTCTGCACCGCACCGCGTCACCGCCTTCGCTCGCCACATTTCATCGTTTGACACGTTAGAACAGGCACATTAATTATAATCTTGTTTGAGATTTCGTTGTCTAAAATTTATTTATGAATCAAGATGAGTATGAAACGGAGATTTTATGAAATAATAGACGAGCTCGTTGCAAGCAAGAAAGATAATAACTTTTACTTAATAGGGACAAATACCCAAAGTGTTTGGAGGAAGTAAAAGCTGCAAAGAACATGAAAAAGAAACAAGCCGTTCATTACAGGCGTATAAAGCGTTACGAAATTTTGACTATTGGCGGCGATGAAAAACTAATTGCACCTATGAAGGAGGAGGATGGAGAAATAAGGTATTACATTTGTTACGAGGACTTATTCAATATTCTTGAAGAAACGCGTGTTGCTGTTGGCCACGGTGGAAGGACACGGATGCTTAAGGAATGTAACCGCAAGTATAAAAATGTAACAGTTGAGGCTACTATGACACATTTGAAGCTATGCCAACCTTGCCAAAAGAAACAGAAGACTTTGAAAAAGGGCATTATTGTCAGACCTATACTTCACAGTGAAATGAACTCACGCTGTCAGGTTGATCTAATAGATCTACAAACTA